TATCTTAAATTTTTAATATATATTTTATTTTTATAAACTACATATTCTCCAGGTTGGGTTTGGGGAAGTGAGGGGTATCCTCACCTTGTCCCCATATTTGTTTTCTTATTCGGAAATTCCTCATCCCAGTCAACTCAGGGTTTCACCGGTCAACTTGAGTTCGAATATCGCATATGAATACTTTTTCAATTTCCACCGGAAAAACATCCTGATCTGATCTCTACTCACCGAAATTCATACTAGTCTCATCATGCTTTTATGCCTTTCTCTCACCGACGATCTATATTCTCTCTATAGACTCTCTTTTTCTCTCCCAATCTGGGCCCTTCGGTTTTCCATTGAAATAATCATGCATGAAAAATGAAAAGTGTCCATGACTTTTTCTCGCAAACTTACTTGGTTTAATTTAACCAAATCTGGCCCTCAAGTTCTCATACTTACGCTTTATCTCCCTATATATATCACTACTTGATCTCAAGAGCTAACCCTAATACATTTGTCCTTTACTCAAATTTACTTAATACCCTTGAGTAAATTAGATAACACAAAGATACAATTTCTCACATTTTATTAGAATTTTCACTACTAAATGTTAATAATTAAAAAATCAATACATTATCTTACTTTAAAACTTTTACAATCTAAAAAGACAAAAAAATATAAGATTAACAACCTTGACCAAAATCTTTAGAACAAGTATTTATACCCATAGTCAAAACATCTAACCCCAAATAAAATAGTGTGACACTTATGACACTTAATATTAAAACTTATAAAACCAAGGAATTTCATTTGACCGAGATATGCTCATAAATATTTAACCCTAAATATCGAGGGTTAACTATTATGCTTATTGAAAACAAATTTTTGAATGTCACAAAGAATTACATTTGATTGTGATATGCTCATAAATTTAAAAACATGCATAATTTGATTAGTTTTTTTTTTCTTTTTCCTTTTTATGATTTCTTTATCTTAAAATTTTAAACCAAACCTTTTTACATCTTTCTTCAAAATATTATAATCTTAAAAACATCATTACACAGTATATTAGATTCATATATGATGATTTAATGATTTTTAAAACTAGAACAACTTGTTTATAAACAATAGACGTTAGTTGAACTTCAAAGTGAACTAAAATCTTCATATCAAACTCAAATCCTCATCACACATGAATCAAATAAGATTAGTAAGGTTGAATATGAAATGTATATGAATTTATAACAATTAAAATGCTATTTCATATCCTTATATGATCCTAAAACTCCATAACTCCATAGGAGCTCTCAAGCAAACTCAAAATCTCAAACTAACTAAAAGATGATCATGCCAACAATTGATGGTTTCACTAGATCAAAATAATTATAAGAAGTCATTCTAGTTCTAATTCAAGTATCAATTTCATATGTTATCACTCAAATTTAAAATCACCATTATTAGAGTTTAGAGCTTCATGTTGACATTCAATCTCTACATCAAACCATATAAGGGTGATATAAATGTATATTTAGATATACAACTGATTAAAACCCAACTAATGATCCATTTTAAAGCTCTTAAAGATAATCAGTTATGTATTTGGAAAAACCCCAAACCCTATATCAAATCTAAGTGAAGGAGTAGAAAGAATTATACCTCTAAAGCCTTAAGCATTCCTTATAAGGGTGTGTATACCTACTCTCTCACACCATTTTTTAAATCCGTAATGACAATAGATTCTATAAGAACTCTATAATTAAGAAGCCCGACCGAGAGAAATTTCAGGATGGGTGACCCCTTACGATGTTTTCGTGTTGGGATGCCCAAATAGGCTAATATTGTCGCACCCGTGTATAGAGGATGTTACAAATGGCATGAGAGCTAGGAAGCAAGTCTATGTATCCAAACGAGACGTCAAACCCTATGGGGGAGGAGGCGTGAAGACGGTGGTTGCCTGATAGACACCACTTAGAGATGGCAATTCTCCATAGAAGTTAGATATGAGACAGAGAGAGAAAGAGAGACAATACTAAAACAACTTTTCTGATTTCATTCCTAAATATCAAATGGAACGATACATCAATTTATATAACAAAGGAAATGAACGTGCTACCTAAAAATTGGGAACATGAATTTATGGAAGCAATGGTATTAACTATATCCTAGTAATTAGGAAATTGCATGAAAAACAAAAAAGCAGTAACATGGGATCGTGGGCTCTAAAGCTTGGGATATCCATGAAAAGCTTTAATGAAAAAGTGCAAGGTGTTGCAAGAGTATCACAAAAGGAAGTCCATTTAATTTATAGCATTTTTGATGGGTCCGGAGATGGAGGCGACCTTCGATATGGCCTGAGACACGTATCAATTCCTCCGTCCTTCAAATGGACCTTGTCATCAAGGTCCTGCATACGGGTGCATACAACAACGGGAGCGGAAAACTGTGGGTTGAGCGGTTGAAAAGTGACGGGTCGGAATTGCTTGGATGTTACTTTCGATGGCGGCGGTTGCGGTAACGGTGGAAGTGGGTGTTATGTTGACATGGGCAATTGCAATGGTTTTGGAGGCGGAGGTGGCGGTGACGATAACGACCGTTGTGACTGTGACAGTGGCATTGTGGATAGTGTTGTTGTTGGGAATCGCGGTGGTGGTGACCTTCGTTGTTGATTATGTGGTGGAAGCGGAGGTGGAGGCAGGATGAGTTTGCCCATGTTTCTATTTTGAATGCCGATGAGGGTGTTGACGGTGGCCATTTGTGTGATAATTGCATCAAGACGGCGGACATTAGCGGTGGAAATAGCGATGAGTGTGGAGAGTTGCTCGCGGATACTTGGCGGTGTGACATTAGTGGACGGATCTTGATGAGGAGGCATGATGATCTCAATGAAAGCACCATTGATAGACACCACTTAGAGATGACTATTCTCCATAGAAGTTAGATATGAGAGAGAGAAAGAGAGACAATACTAAAACAACTTTTCTGATTTCATTCCTAATTCTCAAATGTAACGATACATCAATTTATATAACAAAGGAAATGAACGTGCTACCTTAAAATTGGGAGCATGAATTTATGGAAGTAATGGTATTAACTATATCCTAGTAATTAGGAAATTGCATGAAAAACTAAAAAGTAGTAACATGGGAACGTGGGCTCCAAAGCTTGGGATATCCATGAAAAGCTTTAATGAAAAAGTGCAAGGTGTTGCAAGAGTATCGCAAAAGGAAGTCCATTTAATGTATAACATTTTTGATGGGTCCGGCCATGGAGAAGGCCTTCGATATGGCCCGAGACACGTATCCTTGCCTGCACTTGATCCCCACAACAGCTGGGAAAGAGAACTAAGTATTCATTAATCATTATAAGGGGTATGGATATCTTTTTTTTACAATGTACTTAAATCCACGAGGTCGATAGTTCCCATAAGAACTCCACAATTAAGGAGTCCTGGAAGAACACAACTTTAGGATGGGTGACGCTTAGGAAGCATAAACAACCAAATACACAAATATGTGTATAAGAGAGGATGTGAACATATACGAGTTGGGTATGTGGCCATTTGAAGATCGTGATGCCAAAATATTTGTGCCATATGAGTATGAAAGAATGATATTATTTATTGCACAAATCTTGCGTTTGACTTTTATGTTTTATGATGAATAATGCGGGCAAGAAAAACATAAATACATATCGTTTTATTGGCAAAGGTATGGAACGGAAAGTTGTTATACTCGGTATCATTATCACATTGAAAGTTATTTATTTTAATAGAATTTAGATAGACATATTAAAGTTATGTGGGAAAAACTTAAGATTTGTGAGCTAATGGAAAAGTCCAAATAAAATTGGTGGTCATCGAGAAAAAGACATAATATATATCCCCAGCAACTCATAATGAGTGAGGTTCAAAAACAACTATATAAAATACCAGAAGGGGATATTGTAAAAGGTATTGAATCAAGATATGGTAATTTAGTTTGTTTTTAGTGCTAAGGGATTTTAAAATATTTGTGTCTGGATGACTCAGAAGATGATGCCATAATTACTAAGAAACGCCAAGGAGAAAATGCGAAGTTTTATGTTAAGTAGCTTTGGAGAGTGGAAAAAAGATTGTCTTCACTATTGTATCTTATAAGATGTGTCCCCGTTAGTTAAGCCTTTACACAAAAACCAAATTGGCCAAATTCCATATAACTTTTGTTATTAATTAGTAGTACAGAAATTAAATATCCTCCTATATTTTCTTCTTACTTATATTCCTATCCATGTGAAATGATGACATGTGTTATATTTGGATAAGATTAATAATATTTGAATACACTTGTCATCATTTCAAATGGATAGAATACATATATATGTAGAAAGGAAAGTAGATGATTAATGGAAACAAGTTTTTTTTTTTTAGCCGAGGCAAGTAAAAGGACACATTTGAGATGTAAATCTGTACTTAAGGGTAAGGAAGGGGTAGCTGTGTGTGTTCGAATTTGGATATTGTAATTTTATAACCATTAACGACAACGATAGAATATTATGATTTCTCGAATTAAAATAAGAGTTGATTATGACTTGAGTGTCGGTCGTATGTAAGATGCACTTGCTTGAGCATCCTATACAAAATGTATAGGTGGATATGCTGACGTGGACCGAGAACACCGTGCTTGCTAGTCGGATTTAGGGGGTGTTTGGCATTGCTTATTAGCTTATAACTTATTAACTTATTAGCTTATAAGTTAATAAGTAAGTGTATGGTAACTTATGAAAAATGACTTATTAGAGGTTCTCCACCGGAATAGTAAACACTTTTTTAACTTATAGTGGTGTGGAACCTAATAAGTTGTTTTGAAAAGCTTAGCCAAACACCCCCTTTGTGTAGTGGGCCGACTCCATGGTCTATAACTATATAATTTGTATACACAAATTAAATCTTGAATAAAGAAAGTTCTAGCCAAACTCAAACACATAATCACAAAACTAATAAATAGTAATAATGAACACTAATGATAAACGTTTACAATGTTCACCTCTACTTACCACTTCTATTTCACATACATACACCACAACCGTCTTAACATCAATTATTTCAGTAATCGCTCACATATTGGCAAATTATATTCTATATCATAATACAAAATATCATTACCATAATGGCAACTTTATGAATTAAAATCTATTTACTATGTTACATGAACAACTATCACTTTATGTAAAATACTTTGCAAAATCCTCCCAGATTTCAGCAAACACACAAGACACTAAAGTTATAAAGATTTACAACCATGGTGAATCGTAAATGGGAGTCACAACAGCTTTTGTTTGAAGATACTTCTCTAGGGCTTCCACACCATGATCCTTTCCAAACCCGCTCATTTTGTATCCTCCAACAGGACACCCCGAATCAAAACTATGGTAACAATTTATCCATATGACACCTGCCTTAATTGATCTCGAGACCCGGTTAGTTATGTTCAAGTCATTAGTAACGATTCCAGCTGCTAGACCATATGTCGTTGCATTTGCTCTTGTAATCACCTCTTCAATTGTCCTGTAATATTGTTAACGTGTCATAATCTAGAGAATGAGACCACTTAGTCTGATAAGCTATATATGTGTGTTTTTGTTACTTAATGAAGAATAACGAATTACTAAAAAGTAAGAGAATGCAAGCTTTCCTTCCATGCCACTTTATCAAAACAACAATTAATGGGAAAAACATGGCCTTACTTGAATTTCATAAGAGCCATAACTGGACCAAAGATTTCATCCTTTGCAATAAGCATATCATCCTGGTTTAAAAAGGAGAGAAAATTACTAACGATGGACATTAGAATTCTGAAATGTAGTTATGGATACATACCGTAACATTTTCAAAGATTGTTGGCTCGATATAATATCCCTTGTCACCACAAGGCCTACCACCAACTAACAACGAAGCACCTTCTCTCTTTCCATGATCAATGTATGAAAGTACTCTCTCATATTGTTTCTTATCCACCTTCAAAAAGAGAAATATAAAGGTTACTTATATAAGTTATATATAACACTTCGATTTTCAATTTAATAACTTCATTGGAAAGTGAATATATATAATACTTGGGGTCCTTGTTGCGTCTTAGGATCAAAGGGATCACCAACGACCCACGTTTTTGCCTTTTCAACCAATTTTATCACAAGCTCATCATAAATGCCTTCTTGAACAAAAACACGTGAAGTACAAACACAAATTTCTCCCTATATACAAAATATAACATGGTTTTAGACAAAATTAATATTAATGATATTAACATAAAATAATAAAACAAAATTTTCAAAATACCTTGTTAGCAAGACTCCCAAAGAGAGCAAGATCCGCAGCTTCGTCAACATTTGCATCGTTAAAAATCAAGAGAGGGGATTTTCCCCCGAGTTCTAAAGAAACCGTTTTCAAATTGCTATTAGCTGCAGCGTGCATTATTAATCGTCCGACTTCCGTTGAGCCAGTGAAACTAACCTGAATAACGATGACATTTGTCATTAATTTTCAAAAATTACATGTTTAAACCATTGCTTCTTCAAAAATAAAAAAATAAAATAACAAACACTATTTACACTATTTATATCCATATGTGAAGCGACAGCAGAACCCGCAGTATGCCCAAATCCTGTCACAACATTGATAACACCATTCGGGATCCCCGCCTATTAGATAAACATACAAAAAAGCTAGTCATCATAAAATGGTACACATTTAAAGGTGTATCTGGTGCGTTAACTTAAAAGATAGTTTTTAGCTTATAAATTAGCTTATCAGTAACTCAACTTATCAAAAGCTAGCTTATAAGTTTATAAGTTACTTTAAGTTAGTTTTGTGATCTCACAAAACACTAAATTGCAATAAACTCAAAAAATAAACTAGCTTATACACGCCAAACATAACCTAAACACCTAAGTGGTTTGCTTACTAGTTTAGCCAAATGGGCCAAGTAGAGAGCCGAGAGGGGTGCTTGTTCGGCTGGCTTGACGACCATGGTGCAACCGGCGGCTAAAGCCGGTGCACATTTAAGAATGAACATGCCACTAGGGAAGTTCCAAGGGATTATAAGGCCAACAACTCCAATAGGTTCAAGCAAAGTGTAGCCTTGCAATTGGCGAGACAATTTCAAAGTTCTTCCATGAATTTTATCTGCTGCCCCAGCAAAGTAACGAAGTTCTTTTGATACATCGGGGATGTCAACATCGGTTTCAAAACTAAAAACTTTGCCCGCATCAAGCGTTTCCAATGCTGCTAATTCTTCGAGGTTTTCATCTATTAAATCCGCAAATTTGTTCATTATTTTACCCCTCTCCTACATATATATGATTAGGTTAATCACTAAAATTGCAAAATTATAAGTAGTCATTTACAAAGTAAGAGAAGAGGTATATACGACTACTTATCCACAGTAAAAAGTTAAGAGGTAAATCACAATATTCACATTAAAAATAATAATTGTTTAATCATGAGACTTCTATTATGAATTACTATATTCTTACCACCATACCAATTAAGAAAACGACGCCCACAAAAATTTCAACCTTTCACATCAATGAACTATCGTATACCATGGTTATTAGTTTTTATATAAAATTAATAACATAATCTATTTTTACTTATTAAATTAAGCAAAAATAATTAAATACATACACATCCGGGCATACGTGGCCAAGAACCATGATCAAAGGCTTCTCGGGCAGCTTTTACCGCCAAATCGACATCTTCTTTATCTCCTTCTGCGATCTTTGCTATCACTTCTTCTGTACCCGGATTTATCGTATCAAATGTTTTTCCTGTTTAATTGTTGGTTTTCAATATTCAAAATGTAAATTTAATTAATATTTAAAGAATGAAGAGACAATTAAAAGATGAATGAAAAGAAATAGACCAATAATTCATTGATTGTATAATTCAAGATGGAAGATTGAAAAAAGTGAAAGGTCAATGGTTTCCACAATTAACAATGGATGCCTGGTTAATTTGGATATCTCTCATTTTGTTTTTGTTTGATTAGTAAGAGTTACGTATGGTTATATATGAATCATTAAGATTTAATTAAATGATAAAGACATTTCGATATTAAAAAAAAATCTTAATTAAAATATATTTAGAAATACGGCACAATCTAATCTCACCACATACCTTTCGATTAATAGTATACATGTCCATATTTCATGAGTCGTATCTAAATGAGTCTTTAAAGTTAATTTATTGATAATATAAAATATTTGGTTTTTGTTTTTATATAGTGTCTGAAGCTAACATAAAAGTTTGACTCTACGGGTGTGGACCGATGGGGTACAATACCATAATCTTCTAGATGGAGTAATAATCTAGTTTCTATTAAAATAAACCTTTTGATTCATAGATTGTGTATTTGTCGAATAAAATCTAATCCTTATAGCAGGTTTTATTCTTTGTTTTTATACGGTTAATTAATTGTCATTAACAGCTGTATTCGGATATTATCAGTTTCAATCATCGAAAGTTGAAAAACAATTTGAATAAAAAAGGAATTAATATTGATTTTTTTTGCCCAACGTGTATCAATCATAATGAGACGATTGAACATTATTGCAAGACCACTTCTTCTATTTGGCATCAAATAGTTTGTTGGTCGGATTGGTTGGATTTGAGCAGATTAAAGTTACTTCTGTATAAAGAAAAATTTAGACGTTTTGGGTGCTTTAGAGTTTTCGCAACAATATGTTTTTTTTAATGCAAGTCTAAGTTCCAAAAAAAAAAAGTCGAAACAATATGGTTTTAGTTACTATTTACGTATTTAGAATGAAAAAGCAAGTGTTCCTCTTTCTTTCTTTTTTTTTTTTTTTTTTTTTTTTGATATTGACATAATAAAGAACTAGAAACTTTAATGGTCGGATTGGATATGGGCTGGGTCACGGACTCACGGTCATTAAAATTTTAACGTTTTGTGTTTCATATATACATAGCTATCTCGAAGAAGAAATTACAAATCATTTCACAACAATTATTAAACATAAATAATCAATTTTACACAATAGAACAAGAGATGATCTAAACTGTTATAGCTCACTTTTCTGTTATATAAATAGATGAAAATTAGACGAAAAATATAGAAGTAATATATTTGTGGGAGTACCTAATTAATGGATCTTTTTTCCACTTGAGTCGTGTATAAATAAAATTAATAAATTAGATAATTATGTCTTTATAAACAAAACGTTGTACATACAAAATTTGTTTTTTTAGACTAACTAATGAAACTAAATAACTATTTTTTTACCCTTACATATCAAAAAACTAATTTTATGATATTTATTAAATTTTAACAATATTTATCATGTGAACTTAAAGAGTTGGAAGGAATAAAGAAAAAATAAATAAATGAAACAATAATGTGTAGCGGTCCAGATTAAATACTTAATAATTAAGTTCCTTTAATAAAAAACACATAATAATATGTTTGATCAAAGATTATATCAATTATATAAAACGTAAGTGTAAGCATGAGTACAAGACTACTATGTTATCTTCAACACAATTTAACAGCTTAAACAATTGTCCTCAATCTAGTTTATCTATGAACAAGAAAACATTGGGTAGGGAATAGAAAAGAAACCTGAAACGGAATCAACAAAATCTCCATTGATGAAAAGCTTTGTAAACTTTATATTGGGAATCTTCTTGTAAATCTCTGAGTTTATGTTTCCGTTACTTCCTTCCGCCATGGATTCTCTCTATCTTTCTCTTTGAGTTTATTCCACCCTCCAACACTAATTTATATAATGACACACACACACACACACACACACACACACACACACATATATATATATATATATATATATATATATATATATATATATATATATATATATATATTAACCAAAAGATTTTTGAGAACACATAATCAACTCATCACTTTTTAAGAACAAAAACATGAATCTTCTCCAAATGGTGTGTCTAAGCCATATTTAGGCTAAAAAAAAAAAAGATTTGACGATTTTATTTTATTTTTGTTTTTCTGTGTGACTGTTGATGAACACAATCAACAGTTGTACGGACTGCTGATGAGCATAATCAACAGTCATATAGACTGCTGATGAGCACAATCAGCAGTCATATGGACTGCTAATTGCCCATCAGCAGTCCATATGGCTGCTGATTGTGCACATCCACAGTCCATATGACTGCTGATTCTATTCATCAGCAGTCCGTATAACTGCTGATTGTGCATACATGCAAATTTCGAAAATAAATAAAATAAATTGTCAAATCTTTTTTTTAGCCTAGATATGGCTTAGACGCACCATTTGGAGAAGATTGATGTTTTTGATGTTGAAAAATGATGAGTTGATTATGAGTTCGCAAGTTCACACGCTTTTTTTAGTTCACACAATAACTCAGCCCTATATACACACACACAACGAATCTTTATAGAACCAACTTAAACTTATAGATACATAAAACCACACTTATAACCATAGAATTGTTATATGAATGGATCATATTAAAAGGGTGGACAATAAATATATACACTCTTATCCATAAAATCAAATACAAAAGAAGGTATAATACAGACTTTATATTATTATACTATTAAATTAATTAGAAAATAACCATAATCCCTACATATTAGCCAAATTCATTTTGTCTCTGTTCCTCATGCAACTCTCTCATTTTTTCATCTCTTCACATCATTCTCATATTCATATTGAATTTCTAGAGTATATTATCGCCGATCTGCAGTAAAACCCCAAGATGTTTTTTAACGTCCGTTTCCCAGAATGGATCAGTTGATGATATAAAGGTGTCAAAGTCATGGTTTTTTACGAAAACCATATGTCACCACGTGACATATGGAGTGTCACGACGTGGCATGCAAGTTGAAGAACGTATGTCTCGGATGGACTCCACAACGTGACATGAAGGGTTTCACGACATGGCGGCTGTTTCAGCCCAAACCCATAATTTTTAGGGTTTTCTCCATATTTATGCCCCTAAACTCAAGGTTTAGGGCATCCTCTTCAGCATCTAACCCTTTCAATGAAACCCTAGCCTCCATTTTTGAGTTCTTGAGCTTTTGGTGGTGTTTTTGGAGTCTTGAAGGATAAGGAAGCATCGTTGGTGCATAGATCCAACTTGCAAGTCTCATCATCATCTCCTAACATTTACTCTAGACCATTGTGAGTGTTCAAGTTCCAAGCTTTATGTTCCCTGCTTCTAGATCTAGGCCATTTGTGTATTTTCTCCAAGTTTGGGAAAGTTTGGATGGATTGATTCCATAAAGTTGGCAACTTTATGGATCCTTGAGGTCCCTTGAAGGTTATTTGCTTTAGATTTGAAGTTTGGTTGGGTTTTGAATCCATGTATGTGATTTTGGTTCTATTTTCATCGTTTTGACCCAATATGAGCTCAAGACATGCATTGGACATGCATGTCTATAAATCATTTGTTGAGTATTTGAGATATTGAAACTGATATGGCATATTTGGTTATTTAGGGAAGCCTTTTTAGGGTTAATCATTTTATGATTCCCTACAATGCCTTTACAGTATAAGTTCTTAATCGAGCTCTTCTAAGGCATTGGTTTTATATTAGGAATTTATTTTATATTTATGGTAGATATTTATTGTTCCCAATAAATAATCATTAGGTTAACTTTTGGTGTAAGCTTTTGACCAGATTAGGGTTTTCTCTGTACGTTCATCTCATAATCAATATATGAAAAACCTTTATCAGATTACTTGCATATTGTGGTGATTGATTCTGATTGTTCTTGATATTCCGCATTCGTCATCTCGGATTTATTCCCAACAAGTGGTATCAGAGCGGGTTCTTGTAGATCTCAGCGATTATTGCAAGAATCGATCTTGTTTATGGCGATATTTTATCATGAATCCCACCTTGTTCTTCAAGTTTTGTAAGTTTTCTGAAAAGAAAAAGTCTATACCTCGGTTTTATTGAAAAATCTTTTTCAGATCTGTTATCTTCAACTCATTATTTCATCTGATTTGTTCATGAATTGTGTTCTGGAAGAGAATTAGAAGAAAATTTTCGTGTTTATTCGAATTTTCGTGTTCAGAGCTACTTTATCTCTCTAAAAGTCATTTCAGATCTTTTTTCTCTCTCTAGAAACCATCTCAGATCTGTTTTCTCTCTCTAGAATTCTCATCAGATCTACTTTCTCTCTCTTCAAGTTTTCTTTTTTTGTTGAAAATTAAATGGCGGATTATAAGGTGTTAAAAGACATGAAAAGACTAGGATTAAAAGTTATAGATCCAAAGTTTCGTCTTAAAGAAGGATATTTGTTTTGGGATGTTCCTAAACAATCTATGTTGAAAAATGTCATTGAGATGTATAATTTCTATGTTGATGAGAAGATTGGTGATTTTACACTGATTTCTAGTGGTGGATTTAAAAGTGATCTAGTACAGGAAGATAAAGATTTATTAAAACAATTTATCATTATCAAAGAATACTTACTTTTGAAGCACATACAACAGAAGTTAGAGAAAGAAAGAAAAGAAAAAGAAGGTGTTCTTGGTGTTATTAATAAAGCTCATGATGTTCTTCAAGTTTCTGAAGAAAAAGTGACTCCAGATCTTCTTGTTGAGGGGGAGTCAAGTGTTTCAAGTTTTTCAGAAGCTTCACAATCCGAATCTAGTTGTTCTGAAGAAGAATCTCAAAGTAAATCTTCGGAAATCGTGAAAGTGAAGGAGTTTTGTTCTATTGGAACAACTACATATGTTTTTTTTTTGTGTTGATGATGTCTTTGAAGGATTGGTTCCTTACAAAAAGCCAATAATTCAAGATGTTCAGATTTATCAAACTCCTAAGGATTGTGTTCAAAAGTCTTCAAATGTTCAGATTCAGAAAGATGAAAAGGTTGTTCAGATTTAAAATTCGTTTATGAAGCCTAGAAGTCAGAAAAGAAGAAAGAAGAGGAAGAAGAACATGAGTAAAACAAAGAAGGTTTGGATGCCCAAGGTACAAGTATCTAATGCATGTGAAAAGGTTCAAAAAGCTGAAGTCAAGCATGTTCAAAGAAACTTTAGTTCTAACTTTTCTTCAGATAAGAATGTTAGAAGTTGGAGAAAAGAGAAAAGAGTATTCGGTTGGTTCAATGAAGTTTTTGGAAATTTTTGTTTTCCAACTAAAAGGCGGGTATTATTTTCAGAAGATAATAGATTCTCTTCAAATAAGTGGGTGTGCAAGAAACCAACTTCAATGTTGAACCTTAAATGGGTACCAAAAGTCCCATAAAAGGTTTTGACCTTTATCAAAAAAAAAAACGAAAAAGGGATCAAATCTTGGGAAATCTGGTGGATTTGAGTCAAAGATATGATATTATGTTGAAGAAATCAATTTTATTGATTTTTAATTGATTGGAAATAACAAAAGGCTGAAAAAGTTGAAAAGGTGGGTGAAAATGTGACTTTTCTGCAAAAAGAAGGCTGTAATCTGACATTACAGCATAAAGTGAGCTGGAAATGTCAGTTCACTGTAACAGAAGGGGTTGCTTTCGGATTTACTGTCAATAGAGGTTCGTTTCTTAACAATGAAGATGTAAAGGGATGAATGTGTTACTTCGCTGATTCTTTAGGGGTCAAAAATGTAACTGTGATGATTTCCTTAATTTGCATCTGCTAACGAACGCACATTTGACGATGAAGCTTGTGCAAAGGAGATGACGAACAAACAAAATGTGAATGCCAAGACGCGAACCTTACAACCAGAAACGAACTCAAAATCAACCAACGAACTTCGTCAACCAAAAGCGAACCTCAACATCAAAGTCAATGAAGCGAAGTCAAATGTGCAGGTTTCTTATTGAAGCAAACGTTCGCTTTGGGTGTAGCATCAACAAAAATTGGAACCGAAATAGACCGAACGTTCGGTCTATTTTGCTTTGGGTATGAATTTGAAGCGAACCTGAGATTCGCTTTCGGTCCTGATTAGCTTTCGGTTCCTGATTAGCTTTCGGTCCTTAATTAGGTTTCGGTCCTTAATCTGCGTTCGGTCCCTGAGGTCTTTCGGTCTATGTCCATTTGAAATCGGAGCGAGAAGGAACGAACCTGCAATTGGATTTGAAGCGAACCTGAGATTCGCTTTCGGTTCATGAACAATTGATTCAGAGCGAGAGGATTAAGTTCGCCTCCTCATCTACATCTACAGGTTCGTGTTCATGGCTTGATGGTTCACAGTTGCAAATCAAAAACGAAAAGTCAAAATTGGAATTGGAAGTCGTATTCTTTAAGAGTTAACAATCAAATCGCCATATGATTCTCGCATTACAGTCAAATTGATTGTTGGTCATTCCTGTTCGTAATCGCCATTGGGTCTCGCATCATCAAAGCTTAATATTATTAGAACTGGATTCTTTGGAACAAATGAAATCAGGATTTGGAATAAGGGTGTTGAAAGTCAAAATTGAGACTTTGCAAATCGATTCACCTACGAATGCTCTCTACATCTGAAAAACGAACTAGTTGATTCGATTCGCATCTCACAAACGATCTCTGTGTTCAGAACGAAAAGGGAACATTTGGAATATGGATTTAATTCGCAGCGAACGTGTCATTCGAGATTCATAGCGAACCTGTGATTGTTACTTACATCTCTCGTAGGTATGGATTTGGAGTTCTAGTCGGCTCTTAATCTGAAACAAACCTGGACTCGGGTTCGTGTCTTTGTGCTATGCATCAATTGAATTGATTGGAATCGTATTTGTGATTTCGTATGCGAATGTTCGTCTGAG